TAAAATTAATTGTGAAAAGGGACTTTGCTTTATTTATTGGGATTTGATTTTTCCAAATGGATTGATTGGGCAGAGTAAGGTACTATTAGTTTGCATTATTATTTAGTTGCCCTGTCCAATCTTTGACTTAAAGCATGAACAAATATTGATAATATTAGTTACTAAACTCTCAAACAGTTTAGTTACTAATTGTTGTTGTTAAAAGTCAAAGTACTTTAGTTAATAAGTAGTTTTTCTTAGTAACCTTTGTCAAATAATGTACAGCTATGGAAAAAATTTGGAGACTGCTTTAAAATAAATATTTTCTCTGAATGAACTGGATTTATTAAGCAATGGGTTTGAGTACACTGCAAAAAGGTTTTTAGCTTTAGCTTAATTTTTTAAATATTTAAAAACAAGCATTTTCTAGACAAATAAAAATTATTTTTTTATATTCAGAATATATCCTAATTATGTGGGTTTTTCCTTTTATATATTTTTCCTTTAAATCATGTTAGTTAAAACGTAAAACGCTCATAACGATGCTCTAAACAGGGTTGAGTAACTATTTCTTTAGAGAAGAACCAAATAATTTCTTTGTGCAAATGATATTGTTTTACACAAACATGCATTTAAAATAAAATCTAATATTGTTTTTGCAAAAATATTAATGATAATGATGATGATGACGATTATTATTATTTTAATTATTATTATCAAGTAGGATATTGTTCAATTATTTATTTATTTTATTTTTTTGAAAAGTCTACTTTTACAATTTGACACATGCAAACCACTGCAGAAATGTTCTGTAGTTCTTCAGGCCCATATCATACAGTACAGATACTTAATAAATAACCTACTATAAATTAAAATCATTAACGTATGCTTTATATATTTGTTTTCACAAGCTTTGGAGACGAAACATAAATTCGGCTTTTAAATAATAGGTTACCTATATAGCTTTCGTCATGAGGCTATGTTCAAAATGACATTAATGCTTTCAAAGTGCACTGCGAAGGGAGCACAACTGTAAACATGAAGATCGCTAAAACTGAACTGTAAAAATACATTGAAAGCAAACTACACCTAAGAGAGATGACTTTAAGGCTTTTTTAGTTTTAATCATTCCAAGTTTAAATGTTAGAATGTTCTAAATGAAAAGGGCATAGGAGAGATAAGTTTGAATAGAACACAGCCTGGAACTATGTTTCGAACTACAGCTCCAAACATGTAGTTCTAAGTGCACAAGTTTGCGACTCAGTTTGCAAATGTTCAATTGAATGATGGATTTGGGAAACATCAAATTAACAAACTATGTTTGTAACGACAGAACTTGCGACCTTAGTTGGCTAACGATGGTTTTGGGAAACGCACCCCTGACAAGATAACCTAATTAACCTAGTTAAGCCTTAAATGTCACTTTAAGCTGTATAGAAGTGTCTTGAAAAATATGTAGTAAAACATTATTTAATGTCATCATAGCAAAGATAAAATAAATCAGTTATTAGAAATAAGTTATTAAAACTATTATGTTTTGAAATGTGTTGAAAAAAAAGCTTTCTGTTAAACAAAAATTTAAATGAATGACTTGAACTGTATATATATTTTTACTTGTATAGAAAATGGTTCTTGATTTAAGGATTTTTAATCATTTGGACTATAAAAAATAGGAAAATTGTAAGAATTTTATACATATTTGGTCTAAAAATTAGGGAAAAAGTAAGAAAAGCCTTTTTTTGCAGTGTATAATGTTAAAATAGTTTTATTTCTGATATTATTTCTTCCAAATTGATAATTTTTCAGGGTTAGTCCATTAAATACTGATTTCTTAACTCTTCTAATGCTAAGACATTGGAATTGTGTTGTATCTAACAATGAATGTAAAAATGAACAAACATGCTCAAAAACATGGAATGTTTCAAAAACATTTCATTTGGAAGAAAGGTGGAAAACAAACAAACAAAAAATGTCATTTAATTCAAACACACAACCATAAATCCAGAGAAACTGGGCATTTTCAACTGGTCTCCTAAGCTGTACATATGCTGTCCTTCTGTATGGTTTGTTCATCCTTTTTTATAGATTGTAGAGGGAGAATTTATGACTGTGAAAATATTGTGCTTACCTTGCTGGTATTGCAGTCTGCAACCCACAGATGCTTGACATGTTTACTGCGTCCTCCTGTAGAGAGAAGGAAATGAGCTTTACATAATATGACAACCTATAACAGCAAACCATTTGTATTCAGTATCCATGAAACACATCAACACTGTGATACAGTTATGTGATATAGCTCATGTCTGTAATCTAATATGCCACTGACATTAATGTGTTGTCAGTAATCAGACCACAGTAAGATAGCACTTAACCACATTAAAAGCTAGATATACTGTAAAAACACCCAAGACATACAGTATCAGTGACAGATTCTGACCACATTTAATAAAGCTGTTGTTCAATATGCGGTGCCTAACGGTGATATTGGCACCCTTGGTAAATATGAGCGAAGAAGGCTGTGAATAAAAATAATAGTCTTTTCTTGAAACCCTTCCAAACAATTTGTGGCAATGAAGGTAATGTTGGATTGTAATTGTATAGACTATCTGTCCCCAAGACCCAACTAACCTCCTTAACATATTGTTAAATGATTGTCTCTTAATTTAATTATTTATAACATATTAAATTAACAAATAAATACTTGCATTTGCATAAATGTAAAATAGATACTTCTCCTCTAAGTTACTTTAACATGACTCATTTTATCATGTTAAGAAACACATTACTCTATCAAACACGAGTCAAAACTGTCACATTTAAGAGACGCAGATCTATGGAACAACAAAGAATTTTGAGCTACTAATCGTCATTGTGTAACTCGCTCTAGATTTCTCACAGGATGATTTTCACCTCATTCATTCATTTTTTTTTTTTGTCGGCTTAGTCCCTTTATTAATCCGGGGTCGCCACAGCGAAAAGAACCACCAACTTATCCAGCAAGTTTTTACGCAGCGGATGCCCTTCCAGCCGCAACCCATCACTGGGAAACATCCACACACACATTCACATCACACTACGGACAATTTAGCCTACCCAATTCACCTGTACCACATGTCTTTGGACTGTGGGGGAAACCGGAGCACCCAGAGGAAACCCACGCGAAGGCAGGGAGAACATGCAAACTCCACACAGAAACACCAACTGAGCTGAAGTTCGAACCAGCGACCCAGTGACCTTCTTGCTGTAAGGCGACAGAACTACCTACTGCGCCACTGCCTCGCCGATTTTCACCTCACAAATCATAAATCTTTCATGGAAGACCCGATTGGATAGAGGTGATCCCTACTTAATAGACCACAATATCAATCAACTTCCTTGTGCAAATGTTCATGGGAGCCAGTAGTGTCAATTACTTGTACTCTTTGAAATCCTTCATTTCGAAGGGCCCTGCAAACTGGCCAGTTTTGAGCACTTTGGTTTGGAATGAGACTGCAATATGGACGCCATGATTGATTCTTTTTCAAGAACCCTTCAAAGGGTAGGGTTGCACCAGCTGTTCGCAAGTTCTTTTTTTTTAAACTGGAACGTAAAGTACACACTAGGGGCTTAACTACTAGCTAGTTTGTAACTAAATTTGTGCTCACTTCGGTTGCACCACATGTTCTTAAAGTGAACCGTAGTTAGTTGGTCATAAGCTCTCCGTAAAGTCATGCGTAGTCGCGTTGAATGACGTAAAATCCATTAAGAAGCATTTAAATCTTTAAACTGCTTTAAAATTCTGCAACTAACGCATCAATATATAACTTTCCTATGAAAATTAAATAATAAATTACATTTTATAGTACATTACATTACAGACAGTCACTATAACAGATGACCCACACACCTGCATCACAAGCTGTGAATGCTCACGAATACACATGAAGTTATCAAAACGTTAAACTTGAAATTCTCGTTTTAATTGATATATACAGTTAACACAAATAACTCCTTTGGGAGAAAGAACTCCTCTGAGATTTGGGAGGAAAATAAGGCTTTGAGTGGAGGGAGATCATTCTTTATTATGATCGAGAGCTCCACAATGTAAACTAATCTCGCTGTCATCTCTTTTCTACCATTATACATGGAGGGAGGCTGTCATAAATATTTAGTTGGAACGTATCGTTACGTTTAAACTAAGTTTGGTGGTGCAACACAAAAATATTTAGTAATGTGTAAGTTGTAGCTTAGTCCCTTTAATTCACAACTAGGCTACGTTTTAACTTACACACTGCTGGTGCAACCAACTCCAGGTGTACTAAAAAATTGACAACATCAAAGCAAATAAACGTAAAAATAAATATTTTGCTGATATAAATTTCCACAATTTCCACAATTAAAGCCGCTTTTTCATTACCATTACCAAATGTGCAACCTGTTGCGAATACAAATAGTTATTGGCCCAGAATTCTATATATTTAACAAAAAAAAGTTTTATATAAAATGGTGCCACGTTTGCATTTATTTGTTCTCAATTTTGGTAGTATTTTCAGCAAATGATCAAAAGTTAAATGATTAATACATTTTATACACAGTCATCTTTGCTTATGTGTAACATGGGGGCCAATATTAGTGCATGTCACTACGTATTAAGTAATATCTATAGCTTTTCTCTAAGAAGATCACACCACCAATTATGCTTCCTAAATTCCTGCAAATTACAGGTGCAGTGAGTGCAGAGCACCTGCTAGGACAGCTATAGCAGCACATGTAGGTGTTCATAGAGAAAGACTGTGGGGTTGCAGTGCTAATACTGTGCCTTCAACGCTCTTCTTACACCCCGCATGTCTCTCTCTCTCTCTCTAGCTGAGAACATGCAGTGTAGATTTTGTGATAGCGCTTTGACTCCACAGCTAGCTGCTTTGTGAATTTCTTAGATGTGTATTAGCATCCCAGCTTGAGTATTAGCATAACTTAGCATTACTGGAGTATTTTTTTGCCTGTAAAATGAATCTCTCTGTAACCAATTTTCTTTGTCTTAGTTTGTGGCAAGCGTTACAAAAACCGTCCTGGACTAAGCTACCATTACGCCCATACTCACCTTGCTGAAGAGGAAGGTGAGGAAGAACGGGAAACCGAAATCCCTCAATCTCCTCCTGTCCATCATGAGAATCATAAACGTAAGTCATTTTGTTGTTTAAACTGTAAGAAAATTGTTTTATATTGTGAAATCTGAAAATGCAAATTATGCCTACTAAGCCTAGTGGTGTGCGACATGTGCTGCAAGGTTATAATAGTTTTGGGTTTTTTCGTTGGTTTTAGTTTTTATTTCGTTTTGACTTTTTGTTTACAAATTCAGTTAGTTTTAATTACTAGTTTTTATTAGTTTTTATTTCGAAATGGCATAGTTTTAGTGTCGTGTAGTTTTTAGTAGTTTCAGTATTAGTTTTAGTTTTTTTTTCAAGAAAGATATTTGTTAGGTGCAAGATTCAAAATCATCAGAATTAATATTGTATAATCGAAACTCAACCTAAGATACATTTTTTGAAGCATGTATTAGGACACATGAACACTATCATCTACCACTAACATCTACTCGTCCACAAATTCAAATTTAATAGCCCACAAGATAGCTGCCTTAAATAAAATATGTGTTAAGGCTGCTTCTGAGGTTAGATACACAGTAGTGATGGGAATTTCAGATCTTTAACGCAAACAGGATCTTTTTTGACAAAGCTCCTATGTCAGGACTTAACATATCAAAAATATGTAGTCAGCAATCATAATTGCAGTCAGTTAAAACATCATCATGATCTGAAAAGTTTCTAACAATGAAGTTTTGCAACCCAACTGAAGCATGATTCACTCATTTAAATTCTATTTTGACATTGTGACATAAATTTACGTTTCGCCAGATCCTCTCATTTAAGCCCTCGGTTTACCCACTTCAGTTGTTCAAGTTTAGTTCAGTCACAGCAGGCTGCCATGTATTGTTTAGGTTCGGTTCACCATCTGCTCAATCAAGCATGCACAGTATTATCGATTCACTGCTTCTCAAATCTGATCTCATTGTACTGTTCTAATAACTTAATAACTCAGTATATATTGGTTTATTTCCAGTCAGAGGGGGGTATAAGGCATGTTAAAAAGTTAGTCATTTTTGGATAAGGGTGTTTATTGGAGACGCAAATCGTTTCAAATGATTCAGTTTGATTTGGTGAACTAGTTCAACTGGTTCACTTTGAAGATCCAGTTAAAATGAACGATTCGTTCACGATTGCAATCACTAATACAGAAATAAATCCCATTATTGAGTACAAATGTGTTGAAGTTATAATTTTAGGTCTCTGTATTTAATGCTGTTTAATGCTGTGTTAAATACATTTACAAAGACGAAAACAAAAAATGTTTTTGCTATAGTTTTAAATACGTTCTTTCAGTTAGTTTTGTATGTACACAATACAGATTCAGGTAGTTCCAGTTTAAAAAAAAAAAAAAAACCTTTATTTTTTATTTCAGTTTACGAAAATTATTTTAAATTTTAGTTTTAGTTTTTTTTTCGTTTTTGTGAACTATAATAACCTTGATGTGGTGCATTCCCAAATCATAGATCTTTCCCAATCTCATCCACCACTCTTTCTCCGACTTTATTTCTCGTCACTACTTTCACTGTGCTATCATATTTTTTTAGAGGATTGAGACCAAATATTGTCATTAGATATGGCTAAAACAAAATATATTTCATGTTTAACCACTATAGAATCATACATCAAATACCATCTTAAGTGTCCGTGGTAAGGATGCTCTCCTTACTTAGACTACCTGGGAAGTGTAATAGCATTTACAATTTGTTCTTTTGTTCACCTCTGTTGTTGTTCTATGACCCTAATCCTTTAATTTGCCCTATTTTTACAGCACAGAAAGCGCCTGATGGTTCGATCATCCCTAATGACTACTGTGACTTCTGTCTGGGAGACTCAGGCTCTAACAGGAAGACAGGCCAGGCCGAGGAGCTGGTTTCCTGTTCAGACTGCGGCCGCTCTGGTGAGTCCCTTCACTTCACCATCTTCTATGTTGCTCACAGTTACAGTATCTGCCCATGTTAGATCAAGATTCCACCTCCATTGTGCCCTTATTTCACTCTGAGGGAGATGATTAGTATGGCATAGTTGAATTTATAAAATAAAAGATTTTAAAATGCATTGCCAGATGTTTTAGTAGCAAATTACAAACATGCAAAAGCTGTCAAAATCAGCTTTCCGAGATTTCTCTCTCTCTGTCTCTGTCTGTAATCAGCATAACAATAGGGGTGTGCGATATTACTCCTCTATGTATAGTTAGGTAATTATAATATTAATAATGTATGGTATTATAATAATGTATGATAATAAAATAACCATATAATTGTAAAAGCAACTTGTTCTCTTTTTTTAAGATCATAAGATATCAGTTAATTTTAGAAGAGTATATGTTTGCAAATATTAAGGTGTGCGATCGCATATGAGATATTGATTTTGCACAACAGTTCCTTCTCAAACAAGAAGTTATTATTGAGCGGGTTACATTTTAGACACAATTTTGCAGGTTGTGTATGCCAACAAAAAAATTTGAACAGACCATTTGTGCATCTCAGAGCAACACTGTTGTGTTTTAAACGAATTGAGAGAACTACTGCTTTAATGATAATTTCATACGGTCACTTGCTTCATTTCTAAACAAATCATACATTTTAAATAAATAGTTTGCGCGAGTGATCCAGTGACTCTCTTTTAAAGATAAGGACTTGCTGCCATCTACTGGTGGCTTTAGTATCACATTTAAATAACCATGACAAAAATATTGAGATTATTTTCTGCCAGTATCGCATACCCCTATGTAGAGTTCATGGTGCTCTAAAATGGGTCAGATTACAGTAGCTGTATTTTAGGTCAGTAAACTCTTGACTACAAATCAGAAGCACTTAAATGTTGTTTTATTTTTGACATTAAGTTTAATACATGGTATTCTTTTACGTAAAATAAGCATAAATATATATAATCATTACACGCACATCACTCTTGTTTTAAAGGATATTTTGAAAAAGGGTTTGTATACATAGGACAACAGATAAATGCCAAATAACTATGAATATTTTATGTCATAGAAAGTATAATATCTGCAATTTCCTGATCTGATATTGAGTACATTTTAAATATGTTTCCACCTAAAGAACCATTCTAAATCTTATTTAGTGCTTTATCATGTCATGCGTAAATATTTCATCAGCTTGTTTGTGCATATCCCATCTTTTCATGTTTTATTTATTTATTTTTCTCTTTGCTAGAGCTTGTTTGTTCATTTGATTTCTGAAATTTCATTGAGTGTGGTTTGAGTTTGGCTTGACATAACCATGTCATGTTCAAATGATTTTCCAGACACAGATTAATTCTACTAGAAAGGCTTTTTAATGGAGAGTTGCCATTAGCGATTGATTTGAACCCTAAATAGGTTTAATCTGTGCCCTTGAAACCAACACAGATTTCCACTGCTTTCATGCAGTTATTTATCTTTTGCAGTTTTGGTGTTTATTCGTGAATTACTTCAATATTTTGGATCATGTTAAATCATGTTCACATTTAAAAATGTAATAACTATAGTTGACTATACTAGAATAATAATACTGATGATATAGTATTTCATTAAGGTATGTTGTGCAACAGACAAACAATATATATATATATATATATATATATATATATATATATATATATATATATATATATATATATATATATATATATATATATATATATATATATATACAAACACACACACACACAAACACACACCATTTCGCAAGGCTGATGCAAAGACAAAAAAGTCCAACAGCATCTTGCACCCAATTTAGATTTCTTAGGCTGAAAAAAAAAGAAACTTAAGGTAGCAGACTTTGAGTTCAATTGCTTTTTGTTTTATAATTATTTCCAACCTTCCACTTAGTATACAAGCCTTTACAATAGGTGTGTGAGCCAAATGCTAAAGTATTGAGAACAAGCATTTACTTGCTGTGGACTTTTTGTTTATTTTAAGTGCTTGTCCAAGTGCTCTTGCTGTCATATGGTCCAGGGAAGGGTCAAATATCCCACGTTTATTTGCTTCAATTATTTTTTGAATTCTTAACATGCTTAAAGGCTTTATCTCAGTTCACATGTGCAAAATATACTCATATTTATTTTGCTCATATGCTTTCATTCTTTATGTTTTTCTTTCCTGGCTGTGTGATCCATTGCCTTCTCATAAATAAATGCTATACCAAGCACAGGGAGAGACCAAATAATGTATTCTTCAGTAAAAAAAAAAATAAATAAAAAGAATTAAAGGGATAATTCACCCAGAAATAAAAACATTATACATTCAGTGTCATCTTTTTCAAGACTGTATGACTTTAGGGCTTCTAACACTGCTCTAAACTGGAATTATAGCTTGCAACACTATTTGTAACCCCAGGTAAAGCAACATTTACCACTTAATTTAGAATCTTCCTTTTTGCCAGAGTTATGAAATAATGAGTAGAATTAGTACTGCATTTATAGTGCCAAACACTGACATGTTTTATTTCAAGATGCTTAGCAACCAACAGCCAATTAAAAGCATCACGAGAACACAGTCTGTGTGTCTGAAATCGCATACAGTCAGAGTAGGTTCTGCATTTGAATTTGAATTTTGCAGCTGTTGAAAAAAAAAGTTCTGTATACTATGTGTATATACGTACTACATCTATACTACATCCGTGATGTTTTCATTTTTACATGACCTATTTTCATCAGTTGTGTTGCTTTACTTCCATTCATAAATCCTAAAATGTGCAATTCAGACTGGTCCCCTTGTGCAATTCAGTGGAAGTTGTTATCTGGGTTCTTCTGGTCTACTGATTTTCAAATACGTATTTATACGTACTACTCTCCTTTAACAAAGTATGCAATTTTGCACACTGAGCTACTGTTACTTCAGTGTTTGCGGGGGGAAAAATATGGAAAAGGACTTGTAATTAGTGTGAAGAGACCGTTCAAAAATACAGCTCCTCTTCAAAGCACCGGCTGAAGATTTTCAGCTGATTACAAAGCTGGCTTTACTGACGAAAGTACAAATGAAATTTGCATTCGATTAATAGTGCAGTGCTAAGGCAAAAAAGGCTACAATCCTGGCTGTGTTTTTTCAGAGGCTAGCATATGTTTTCACTTTTAAATAATTAGAAAGCAACATTTAACAAAAAAGTTTAAAAATAGAATGGATGATAGGTACGTTATCATAAAGGTCTCTTTTGTTGATCATAAGAGGCATCTCAAGGCCCAGGCAGTGAACTTATCCCGCACAACTCCTAATTGCTACCTTCTGTTACACATGGCATTTCTGGCATGGGTGGTTCATAACAAAGTCAGAAAAAAAATTCAAAATATGAGAAAATCAGTAGCTAGTACAGCAGATATTTCATATTAAGGCATATAATCTCAAATGAAAAAATAAATGCCATGTTTCAGAAGTATCCACAACTAGATGCTTTGAGAAGAATGCAGATATTTTCAGTTGGCTTCGAGGTAAACGCAGCCTTAAAGTCTGCTTTCCACTGCACACTACAAGCGACAGACCGGAAGTCATTAATTTCCAATGGAGAGTAGTCCGTGAGCTGAGTGGAGTTCCGATTATCTCCGGATGCAAAAAATATCGGATCTGAATTGCGCTGCGGATTCGTTGAAATATTTAAACTCCTGCGACTAGACCATATGCGACCGGCCGACCAGATGTGATGTATTCCAGTGTTGTCCAAGCAGGTCTGTGTGCACGAGATGAGAAATATTAGTTTTTTCAATACTTTTTGAATCAGAAGAAGTCTATATTTAAAAAAAATAAACATTTCTATTTATAAATATAAGTAATAAAGTAATAAAAATATATTTGTTATGTTGTCTCCACATTCCCTCCAATATTTCTAGCGGTCTATGAGTTCCTAGTATTCTTTCATTCATTCATTCATTCAACCATGGTTAAAGCACAGAGAATAATGGCTCTTGCTTTTGCACTCCATTATTTTAGACACTGTGAGAACAGCTTCTCTCCCATGGTGCATGTCAGAACTGAAAATTCTGTGCAACTGCCAGAAGGGGGATGTATTCCGACAGTCGTGTCCAAATGTCGTGTGCAGTGGAAAGGCAACTTAAGATTTACAGTGTAAAAGCATCAAAAAACAGTATCAATTGTTAACTGCAGGTTTGGTATTACAACACATGATTCCATTTAAAACCCATGTGAAATCAAAGTTTACTATGTTTATTTTGCTAGTGCACATTGTTATCCGCTTGTTAAGGGTGACGTCACGCGAAGCAGCTGGGGAGACTCAACGAATGGTAATAATAAACATTTACAAAGCGATGTAAAACCTTCGAAAATTATAATCGCTAAATTAAGCCCACTAAATAAGTAATCTTCAATCAAGGTCTGACGATTTGAAGTGACAGTGCTTTGATTTCCTGTTGACATCAGTTTGACGGTTTCTGCCACAATATCTTTAACTACACTCCTCTTACTGCTAGTTTGCTCAAAAAGAAATCCCTGCCCGCTACTCAATATTTAATTTCAGTTGGAAGTACATAGTACATTAGGTTGGAAGATACATACTGAATTCAGCAACGTCAGATTCACAGACTTTAAATGGAATTTAGGATGACCCAGGTTTAACTATTTATTGTGTAAAAAGCCTTCTTTTGTTTAATAAAAAAGTCATACAGTTTTAAAACAGCTTTCAGAGATGAACTTTCATTTTGGGGTGAATTATCACAAAAATTGGGATTTACATGGGATTAAGGGGCTGCAACTTTAATCTAGAACTGATACTAAGCTCATATGCAGGAACATACATAAATGTTTGAGTAACGGCAAGTACTGCAAGTTGTCCAAGCTCAGAGGAGTCCTAGCTGACTGCAGTGTTACTTGTGTGTGTTTCCACTGTGATGCTGATATGTCCGTCATGCATGTCAGCTGATCGGGTCGGTGGGACCAGGGCGAAGAGG